CCTGTGCCCTGGGTTGTGCTGCGCCCCCCTCCTTATAGGATTGCCCAAGCCCACCTGCCGAGACCAGCTCGAACACTGCTTCCTCTGGACACCCCCAGTGTTCCGAGACCCCTCAGCGCCCATGCACTTTGATGTGGTCTGTCAGTGTCTTGGTTAGTTATTCATGTGTGTGGCCTCACCCTCGGACAGAGTTCCTGAAGGTAGAACTAGGGCTTTGAGCTCACATAGCATGGGTGGCACCACAGCCTTTCTCTTCCCAGGACCCTGGGGCAGTTGCTCATCTCACTGGTCCTCAGTTTCCTCATCTGTCAAATGGGCTGAACACTCTCTTCAAGGTGCTCCCTGCCTGGCCTCTGCGGCCAGGAGAGCAGCTGGTCCCATCAGGTATGTGAACACGTTGGGGTCTGGAGTGCACAGCCCCTTCCTCTCCCTCGTATTCAGGTGTGAGGGGGGCCCTCCCCACCTGGCAGGGGAGCTCAGACAGGCTCCCTGGGTGAGGCAGGTGGCCCGGGCCCTCCCCGCAGTCATCCATCTCCCAGCTTTATTAATGGCCGTGTCAGTGCCGCGCAGGACGCCTGCAGCTGTCTGCAGTGATGGATGACGAAGCGCCTCTGCTGCTATTTATTCTCCAGTGACCCTGTCCCCCCATTGTTGCGTGCGTAAGAGTTATGAAGGTGGGACATGATAATTTGATATTGATCTATTTGGTGAGCTAAGAATTTACCGCATCCTTGATGTTTTAACAAAGGATACACTTGAATCCTGCAGGCAGTTGAAAGGCTGCTCGGACTGCTGCTCCCCGCCCAGTGGGAAGGGGCAGCTGGCCCCACAGGGCCCGACGTAGGGCGCAGGGGTCCTGGTGAAGCGTGGCTGCTCTGGCTCAGGAAGATTCTAGGAGGGGCACCAAGAGGCCATAACAGTGCACATAGGACCACAATGCAAAGGTGACCTTGAACAATTGACTGACCAGAGATGCAGAGTCCATACATGGAGACAGACCCCACCTCAACCGAGGACACAGGGACAGGGGAACATGGGCTGAATGCTGGGAGGGGCGGGGGACTGTAGGAGTAGCAAGGGGACTATGGGGAGGTGAGGGGACAGGGCGGGGACTGCTAGGGAAGGGGATCGAGGGGGGTGGGAGGTAATGAGGAAGGGGGTCCTATGGGGAACCCTGGCACAGATCCATCCAGTGGCTCGAAGGTAAGGGGCACAGAGAGCAAAGAGGAGGAGCAGGAAGAGGCGGGTATGGCAGAGGGATGCAGAGGCCCAGGGCTCCCCAGAGGGAGGCCACAGCACAGGACCATTAAAAACACACACGTTATTGTTGAAAGTATTACATGTGTCCCCCTTTCCCCCACGCTGACCTCTTCTAGGGCCCCCCGACCTTCACCACCCTATAGTCTGTGTCCATGGGTTATGCATCTATGCATACAAGTTCTCTGATCTCTTTCTACCCACCTTCCCATCCCCTCCCCGCCTTCCCTCTGAGGTTCGACAGTCTGTTCCTTGCCTCCATGTCTCTGGATCCACTCCATTCATGTTTATTTTGTTAATTAGATTCCACATGTGAGTGAGACAAATGATACTTGTCTTTCTCTGGCTTATTTCACTTAGCATGATGCTCTCCAGGTCCATCCATGCTGTTACAGATGGTAAGGGATCTTTCTTGTTTACAACTGCATAGTATTCCATGTTGTAGATGTACCACAGCTTTTTATCCACTCATCTGCTGAGGGCACTTAGGCTGTTTCCAGATCTTAGCTATGGTGAATAGTGCAGCTATGAACCTAAGGGTGCATACAT